ACTCAGAGATCAAAGCAGCATGAATATATCAAAGCAGGAGTATCAAAGCAGACCTCTCAAGAACAATTTTTAAAGTCATTTTGTGGCTGGGCGTGGTGACTCATGCTTGTAATCTCAACACTTTGGGAGAATGAGGTGGGTGGATCACTTGAGGTCAGGAATTCAAGACTAGCCTGGCCAACATGGTGAAAGGTCTCTACTAAAAATACAAAAATTAGCTGGGTGTGGTGGCAGGTGCCTGTAATCCCAGTTGCTTGGGAGGCTGAGGCAGGAGATTCGCTTGAACCTGGGAGGCGGAGGTTGCGGTGAGCCAAGATTACATCACTGCACTCCAGTCTGGTGACAGAGTGAGACCCTGTCTCAAAAAAAAAAAAAAAAGTAATTTTGTTTCCTCTTTTATTAAAACACCTCATTATATTATTATTTTTATTGCTAAGGCAATGTACATAATTTAGAATTACAGCTGAATAAAGAGAAATTTAAAATCACTCATACTGACATTCTTCTATTAACATTTAAAATTCTCTTACATGTGATATTATATACTTTCTTTATAACCTACATTTTGTATTGATACATAATAGTGGTACACATGTGTGAGTTACATATATATTTTGATACGTGCATACAATGTGTAATGATAGAATCATATAACCTCCTTTTGATCCTAATGCTACGTCATAATCACTTTCTATGGATTTTTTTGTTTTGTTTTCTTTTTTGAGACGAGTCTCGCTCTGTCACCCAGGCTGGAGTGCAGTAGTTTGAGCTCAGGTCACTGCAGCCTCCACCTCCTGGTTCACGTGATTCTCATCTCAGCGTCCCAAGTAGCTGGGATTACAGGCACTCGCCACCATGCCCGGATAATTTTGTGTTTTTAGCAGAGATGGGGTTTCACCATGTTGGTCAGGCTGGTCTCAAACTCCTGATCTCAAGCGATGCACCCGCCTCTGCCCTCCAAAGAGCTGGGATTGTAGGTGTGACCCACCGCGTCCGGCCCTATGTTGTTCTAATAGCCTCCTACAACATTATTTTTTGCATGTGATATTGGATTGTTTGTATTGCACATAATTGTTGTTTTCCTTCCTGCTTACATTTTGTGAAACTTTTCTGAAAACTACTTAAAGCATCTTCTCCATCAGTGCCTCCATCATCACTGGCAGCACCTTTGAAAGGCTTCACCGATCTGCAGAGTACATCATCTTTGCTAATGTGCACTGGAGGTTTTATCTTAAACCCCAGTTGGCCACCGACATTACCTTAGGAGAGTGCTTTCTGCATTTTAAATTGATATCCGTAGGCAAACGCTTACTACAATGCTTCTTAAAGTCTTCTTTGAAAGACTCATTTAGGCCTGGCTTGGTGGCTCACACCTATAATCCCAGCACTTTGGGTAGGCCCAGGCGGGTGGATCACCGGAGGTCAGGAGTTTGAGACCAGCCTGACCAACGTGGTGAAACTCTGTCTCTACTTAGAAAATACAAAAATTAGCCGGGTGTAGTGGCGGGAGCCTGTCATCCCAGCTACTAGGGAGGCTGAGACAGGAGAATTGCTTGAACCCCGGAGGCGGAGATTACAGCGAGACGAGATCCATCACTGGCGCGCACTCCCAGCCTGCGCCCCCCGGCCAGACCAACGCGCGTCATTTATAGTCGACTGTCTAAGTACCTCCACTATTTTCTCTGTTACGGACATGATTCTGTCTTCTGAATAGACCAGAGACCGCTTCACTTGGCTCAAAATTTCAAAAGATAGAAGATGACAAAACCTGCAACAAGCCCTTGCGTTCGACATTCCCAGTCACTCTGTCATTCTTTCTCTTTTTAAAATAGTTTTATTTTATTTTAGCTGGTGCAGTGGCTCACGCCTGTATCTTTGGCCAGGCGCGGCCGGGCAGCCCTACCAACATGGACAAAACCTCCGTCTCTACTAAGGCATACCTCCGCCAGTCGGTCGGTGGCGCGGGTGCTGCGTCTACTCCACTACTAATGCGGGGGCTCCGGTAAGGAGAGCACCTGTGGGGAGGTTGTGCGGCCGTCTGCGCCACTGATCCAGGCCTGGGTGATAGACACCCGGCAAAAAAAAAAAATTATTCCCCAACATGTCATCGTCCATCATATATAGCCGAACATTATAATTTTTATGCCAATTAAAAATTAACAACATTGCCGCATGTCACAGAGAAAAAATGAGTAGTTTGTCTGGTGAGTCTTTCCCCGCTTGATCTGCTGATTGCCCACTAACAAGAACAGCGATTCAACATTCCAGCCGGGATATTTCATCAGATCCTCCGTTTTTTTAGTCATTTGTCTGAGTGATAACTTGTTCCCTATACGCAAATGTGCTATGACTAATCCTTGCCAGGGTCTTTTCCTCTGAGCGAGTTAACCAGAGGGCTGCATAATTATTGGTTCAAACAAGAGGTGAGAGATGAAAGGTTTTTGTTTGTTTTGTTGGTGTTGGTTGGTTGGTTGGTTGGTTTCGAGATGGAGTCTTGCTCTGTTGCCCAGCCTGGAGTGCAGTGGTGCGATCTCGGCTCACTGCTACCTCTGCCTTCTGGTTTCAAGCAATTCTCCTGCCTCAGTCTTACATTTTGATAAGCATTGGCCACGTGGCTTCTGAACTTGGGACCATCAGAAATCGGATTTCATGGGGCTTATTCATTCCAGGCACTCTGACCGCGTCCTGCTTGAGAGAGATTGTTCCTGGCATCTCAGCGCTATGGGGAGCAGGTGCCTCCTGGTCCTGCTCTTGGGTAAGTGGAACTAAGAACTCCCTTCCCTTCTCCTCATGCCCCTGGTATCCTCGCTTGATTTACTCCTTCAAATCTGGCATTTTCTCCAGCATTAACTGCGTGTGCCTCTCCTATTAGAAGCTCTCATCTCAAGTCAGGCTGGGCTGCCACAAAGCAGAACTGAAACAAGGACTCGTGTGCGTAAATAGTTTATTTGGGAGGGGATCCCAGGAAAGGAGGGTGTGGGGAGGTCACACAAGGAAGGGTGAAGAGCCGCTGAAGGGTGTGTTAGTGAGGGGGTTACCACTGCGGGCAGGTGGGGTGCTGTCCTGCTAGGGACCTCCAAGAGACAGTGTAATTCTTACATTTCTGGCCTACTCCCCAGCTGGGTGCAGTAAAATGCACTGTTGCAGAGAGAGACAGAAAGTCATCTGCGGCCGGGCACCGTGGCTCACGCCTCTAATCCTAGCACTTTAGGAGGCCAAGGCAGGTGAATCACTTAAGGTCAGGAGTTTGAAACCAGCCTGGCCAACATGGTGAACAAAAAATGTTGCTAATGGAAAATTTAAAAGGACCTATGGGGTTTCCATTATATTTTTTCTTGAACAGTGTGTGGTTTGGTCCGGACTGTATTAAATAAACTGTTGAATATAGAAAGGAGATTGCAACTGGTCTTTTGGTGCTAGGACATAGAGAAGAAGCTGAATTAGCTGCTGGGTTTTCTGAAATTGGGAAACCCAGCTCCAATTAGATGCACTTCCATGCTTTAGAGGATATGATGTCCAAATTTGTGACTCTTGTGTTTATAACCTGCCTGGAAGACGCTATGGTGAAGGCTTGCACGTGTGACTGGGCAGAGTTAGGGTTAGTCGCCCTAACTCACCCAGCCTTCAGCCAAGCAGAGTCTAGGGGGATCCCCGTCTGAATGATCCTCCTCTCCTCTGTTCCCAGGTCTCACTGTCTTACTGGTTCTGCCAGGATCAGAAGCGAGAATTCTGGGGGTGAGTCTATTCATAGCCAAAGGCCAGAGAAAGAAAATTGGGATCTGGAAGCTTCCTTCAGAGAAGGGAAGAAGCTTTTTTTCAAGAGACAGAGCGTGGGAGTCTCTGGCACTTCCTTCTGGCTCCTTGGAGATCCCAAGAGCTGTTTTCCCATCTCCATCATCACCATCACCTGCATTTACATAGCAAAACATCATCCACATGCCATCTCAGTTAATCCCCATGACACTCCTACAAAGACGCATGGGGCATTATCCCCACTTGATCGAGGGTCCTCCAGATAAGTGGCTGGCTCAAGGTCACTGGCTGGGTGGATGCTAGACTCTCCTCTTTCTTCCCCAAGCCTGTGGG